GAAGTGTGGGCCAATGCTTTACTTTGGCTTGTGATCAGATGTAAATTTCCATAACCACAAGCACTCTGTGGCCACAACACATTATTCAGGGGTCCCACCTTCTCTCAATCTTCCAGATCTTTCCAGTGATTTGAAAATATGGATAAGATAAAAAAAATAAAAAAAATTAACACAAATTAATAATTTAGAGTGAGGATGAGTCAGTTTGATAGATTCATTAAAGATATGCACCAAAAATTTTTAATTATGCCATCATTTACTCATTCCAAACCCGTATGCATTTCTTTTGCTGAACACACAAAAAAAATAGGTATTTTTAAGAAAGTTGATAACCAAACAGTTTTGGTTCCCATTGACTTCCGTTGAACTTTTTGGACACACAAGGGAAATTAATAGGAAACGAAACCATTTAATTGTCAACATTCTTTGAAATATCGTCTTTTGAGTTCTACAGAAGAGAGAAAGTCATACAGGTTTGGGACAACATGACCATTTTCAGTTTTCTGCGAACTATCCCTTTAAAATTAACTTTCAAAAATGTCTAAAAAAGAACAGTACAAATCAGACTGTAACTCAGAAGAAAGTTTTACTCTACAGAAGAGCAATATTTAGCCAATTAAATGTTTTAGGTCAGAGCATAATTAGAAAAAAAGTACTTTCCCAGGCCTGGAAAACACAATTATACAATGGGAACCCTGATTCTTGACCCACCAAGTGAACAAAATCATGTTTGTGTTTGGGTTCAGTATGGCACTCTGAGCACCGTTAAAGTAGTGTATTGCAGTGATCGATTTCTGCCGGGCAGCTCGGAGTTACCAAAGGAAAGTCCTCTAAACATAGAGGAATTGTTACGGAGAGGAAATGTGAGCGAGGGTGACAGGCAGAGGAGGAGTGCACAATATTAAAGGCCAGGGTTGTGAAGGCAAAGGTAGTCTTTATTAGGTTAGAGGCGCTCTGTAAACTTGTTACAGGCCGGTGTGTTAGATCTCATTCCCCCGCAGGGGCATGCTGGGATGGGGCCCCTGGAAAATGTCTCAGGGAATGTATTTTTTCCCCATAACCAGTTTAGTGCCAGCCACCCTCCAAGTGTTCTCCATCACTTAGCTTCACAACAGTTGGGGAACAAACGCATTAGAGAAAAATTGCCTCTGCAGTACATCTGTTCTGGCTGTCTATCGAGGGCTCAGGAAGATCTGCCACCACAAACCGAGAATCTGATATTAACTCTAATGTGTTGAATGCTTTTTTACCCCATTCATAAGCAACCACTGATAAAAATGATGATACAATTTAAATTCAAAATGTTAAAATTGCATTGTTTTGATAAATGAATGAATAAATAAATAACTTTTTACTTTACAAAGTCTTAAAAAAATTATTAAAGTTAATTTTGAGAAATAAAAACTGATTAAAAATGAATAAATAAAATGACTGAGTAAAAAAATTAATAAAAATATATATAAAAAATACATTACAGTTAAAATTGCATTGTTTTGATAAATGAATGAATAAATAAATAACTTTTTACTTTACAAAGTCTTAAAAAAATTATTAAAGTTAATTTTGAGAAATAAAAACTGATTAAAAATGAATAAATAAAATGACTGAGTAAAAAAAAAAATATATATATATATATATATAAAAAATACATTACATTTAAATTCAAAATGTTAAATTAAAGTTGCATTATTTCGATGAAATAAATAAATACATACACACGTGGTCAGAATTGTTGGTACCCTTGGTAAATATGATCAAAGAAGGCTGTGAAAATAAAGTTAATCCGTTAATCATTGTGATCTTTTATTTAAGAATTTAAAATGGGGGGAAATATCATTATGAAATAAATGTTTTTTTCTCAAATACACATTGGACACAATTACTGGCACCTCTAGAAATTCTTATGAGTAAAATATATCTGAAATATATTCCCATTCATATTCACAATTTTGAGCACACCAGGGTGATTATGAACATGAAATTATCTAGCCATGGCTTCCTGTTTCACAGAAATATAAATATGAGTGAAAACAAAGGCCAAATTCCAAATTAATCACCCATCACAATGAGAAAAACCAAAGAATATATTTCTGATGTGCAGCAAAATATAATTGAGCTTCACAAATTAGAAAGTGGCTTTAAGAAAAAAGCTAGAGCAGTGAAAATTCCCATTTCCACCATCAGGGCAATAATTAAGAAGCTCCAATCAACAGAAAATGTTATGAATCTGCCTGGAAGAGAACGTGTTTATATCGTCGTAATGCACAGTGAGAAGGAGAGTTTGAGTGGCCAAAGACTCTTCAAGGATCACAGCTGGAGAACTGCAAGTTTGAGTTTCGGGGTCAGAAAACCACATGTTGTTTGGGAGGACTTCAAGAAAAAAAAAATCAAGAAAAGAAAATGCTTTCACCAAAAAACTATCTCCAGCATATTCTGTTGTCAGACACAACTGGAACTTCAAATGGGACTGGCTTCTATGATCAGATGTAACTAAAAAATAAAGCTTTTTAACAGCAAACCCTCAAGATGGGTTTGGTGAACACAGGGATAAAAAGTACCCCATGTGTACAATGAAATATACTGCTGTATTTTTAATGTTGTGGGCCTATATTTCTGCCGGATGTCCAGGACATCTTGTTTAGACACATGGCATATTTGATTCTATCAAATACCAACAGATAAAAAATCAAAAAGTGACTGACTCTGTTAGAAATCTTATAATGGGCCATGTTTGGATCTTCCAACCGGACAATAATACAAAAACAAACCTTAAAAACAACACAAAAATGGGTCACTGGGCACAAAACCAAGCTTCTGCTTTGGCCATTCCAGTTCCCTGACCTGAACCTTATAGAAAATGAGTGTGGTGAACTGAAGAGGAGAAGCACCGTCATGGAGCTGGGAATCTGAAGTGATTCTGGATGAAGGAATTGTCTCTGATCTCTTGTCGGGTGTTCTCTGAACTCATCAGGCATTATAGGAGAAAACTCCTATACTATTTTGGCAAATGGAGGTTTCAAAAAGTATTGAATAAATGGGTACCGTTAATTGTGTCCAATGTGTATCAGAGAAAAACATTTATTTCATAATGATAATTCCCCCCATTTTAAATTCTTATCCGCCAATGAAAGGTTAGATTTTTGTGAATTTTTTTAAATAAAAGATCAAAAGGATTAACAATGCAGATTTATTTTCATAGACTTCTTTGATCATATTTACCAAGGGTATCAACAATTCTGTCCACGTGTGTACATACATAGGATAAAATTTAATGTTCAAAATCTTTTGAATTTTGTAGGTAATAAAGAGGCTTATCTAAAACTTTGCAGCATCAATCATGCATACAAGTCTTAATCTGATCAGTCCATTTTAGTCTCCCCTTCTGCACATCATGTGCTTTAAACTCTATATCTGCCCACCCTCATGATGTTTAAGATATTTTCCTATGAAAGCTGCTCTTGAAACAACTAAATGCTTGGTGATCACTGGCAGTCAAATTTCAATTGCAATTTCACAACTGAAAATAAAAGAAAAACCCTATATGCAATTTCTGGATATTAGTTCTTACACTTATATAGCGTACTTAAGTGTTTTTGTTCCCCTGTCATCTGGGCACTAAGTAAGCCAGGACCACCAGTGGTGCCTCCTCAAATATTTTCATGAGCCAGCAGAATGCCTGGGATGATGTTGGCGTGTGATGGCATGGCGCTACTTGACAAGTTGCATCTAATTCTGCAGATTTATTATTATATAGGAGTGCTGAAAGTGTTAACAATCCTTATAGTGGTTACATAAGGCCATGCATGAATAGCTTCACAATTACCCTTCCAATATGCTATGCATTACATACACCGGCTGTATGAAAATGTGTCCTTCATGAGACAGCTTGCTAAACGCTCATTTTGCCTTCCCTTTAACATCTCTGTAAAGTAGAGTGTCTAATTGAACAGTGCCTCGACAGAATGCCGTAATACGCAAAGTATGTGAGGAGCGCTGTGGGTCTTGCTGAATGTGTCAGGGCCACTGTGTTTGTAATACGCAGATGTCATCCTATTAATTTGAGGGAGAATAATTATAAGACTATGGAGCACCCAGATGTCTCCAGCGCATGTCTTTATGAGCGCACATGTATGTGTGTGTTGAATACATTTGAGTGCCACTATGTTAACACAACAGAGACGCATGATGCTAGACAGCCCTGACGTGCCGACCCGTTTCTGCATTAGCAATTCTAATGTCAGATATGAGGTTGAATTGTGTAGATATTAAAAGTGGCATCAGACGTAAAAATCATAAAACGTCCTGATAGAGTGTGTTATATTCAACGCAGTCTTTAATAGGGGAGGGATTTGAGCTCTCGAAGCACCATACGTGCCTGTGTCACTCTCTCTTCTATTCTGTTGGTTCAACTGTCATGAATTTCTAGTGGAACGACTGCCAAGCTGCTCATGGGAGAAATGTGTGAAAAGGCTGTCGCAATTACTGGCACATTTGCACTTCGTGCTGGGGCAAGTTTTTGGAACACGCACAACCTGGGCAATGCCAAGTTTTTGTGGCGACCCACCAACAACATACAATGTTCCCACACGCGCACACATAAACAAAAAAAAGTTTGGCTTCTTTAAAGCTTATTCACAGTATAATTTTGATAAAATAACTGAGTGAATCTGAATCAGCTGGGGTTTGCCTCCCTCGCTACTGACAAACTGTATATCTGTTCACTAAAAGATCCTCATTGCAACACAAATCCTTTTTAAAATAGCTCTGAGTCCACTGTTGTGCTCTGAAAATGGAGGACTGCAATTTCACCACAGGCTTAGTGCAGCAAAAGATATCAGAAGTAAATTCCAAGAGGAAAATGGTCAGATTAGAACATGTCCTAAAGGAAAGGAAATGTCATTGAGATCAATGTTATTGACCCATGACTCAGATGGAGTGGCGGAGTGGGTGAAAGAAAAAGAGGTCGGAGTGACATAACTACTCGGTCACTTTGAACTTACCGCGCACATAAAGGATGTAGTCAGCGTACGTTTCGCCCACAGAGTTGGACACCACACACCGGTAAGTGCCGTTGTAGGACTTGTTGAGGTTCTCGATGAAGAGATCTGAGCCGGTGATAACCGCGTGAGACGGCACATCGTCATCCACCCTCACCCAATTCACCAGATGAGGCCTGGATGGAGACACAGAGCAGAAATGGCTTTGCTTTAGAGTTGTATAGGAAGACCATACAGTCTTTTCTGGCCAAGGGACCTCTTTCTTGGGCAAAGAAGTTGTCTGAGTACCATGTAAAGTTTTATAGGACATTATATGGCAAGAACATTCTAAGTTGCATATAAACTGGAGCAGTTCAGTCTATTTCTGGAAAAAGTTTTACAAGAAAATACTAATTTAGTCTTTATACTTAAACGTTCAAATTTATTTCAATGCGTTATTTGTGGTTTCTTTGTAATTTTGTGTGAAATCTACTAACAATTTCTAAGTAAAAATTGTTTCTAAGTGAATCCTACACTAAATATTTTTCTGTATATATTCTGAAATCTATAAATAAATTAATTAAATAATTAATAAAAAAAACAACTGGAAAAAGCATTGCAACCTTTTTTTTTTTTAAATGACAACATATAGAGAAAATAAACAAATTGTAGTGAACAGTAGTCAAGATGGCAAACCCCCTTTACACACAATGGGCCTCATTCATGAAACATTCGTAAATATTGGAGTAAATTCTGAGTAATTTGCGCGTAAAACGGACCTTCCAGAAAACTCTCCTCCGAATTCACAAACACTTCGTACACATCAGATTTGATAGTTAAACGTGTATGTTAATGAATTCTAATCATTCGTAAATAGGGCGCTCATGCACGCTCATTCACAATTAGCATAATCCCCGCCTATGAATTACAGCTGCGTAAATTGCGTGTCCAGGAACGCAGTGGAATATTCTGGTCTACTTTCTCAGGATTGACTCCAGTATATTGCATAAATGCTAAAAACACTAATAGGCCATATGCCTAACAATAAATATTCAATGACGTGTGTCCACAAAAGTGTTTTTAGCCAGCTGAAAAACTGTCAGGCGCTCTTCTTAAAACGGCCAGCTGGTGGTGCTGGACGCTTTGGTGGCACAGCGTTTTTCTAGCTGAGCCTGAGAGACGCTTTGGTTGCTACGATTTGAAATATCCATGGCAGTAACATATTACTAGTATCTCATCTTAAGAATATTACTGAATATAAAAATTCAGTAACCAGCAATATGAACTTCTCTATTGTTGTTCAGTTGTTGTACAAGTAGGATGATTGGTCGGTGTAGTATTTGTCCCGCCCCTCCTCCATTGATTGGACGGCTGGGTAAAAAGTGAAAGTGACAAGCAGTTTATCAACTCCCAGCTACCAAAAAAAAAAAAACGGGGCAAACGACCTTGTAAAATATTATGATGGCAGTGCATCAAAATTCAGTGTCATCAATTTGCCAAAAAGAACACAGAACGTTTTACGCACCATTTACACGTGGTAGGGAGCAGGTGTAAATTTCTTTTGAACCAACTAACATTTTGAAAATACGAAGACTTTCATGAATCCGAAAATTTACGTCAGAACGGCTTTACGAACGATTTACACAAAAATTTGTTCTGCTCGTGTTTCATGAATGAGGCCCAATGTGTGGAAAGTTCATTTTGATGTGATCAGGCTTTTTGTGGACAACGAAGGATGACTTTTGCTTAAACGCCGGGACACACCAAGCCGACTTCAAAGAACAAGCGGCGACGAAAGCCGACGGTGTTGTCGCCTCACGTTGGCAGCATCGGACCAAAAAGCTGCGCTCGAACACACCGCATAGACTACAGCCGACAGCAAACTAACACATGTGTTGTGCGCATGCGTGAGAGGAATTAACTGTCTATATCAGCAGCTATCAATAGTATATATTCATCATTCAAAATGAGAAACCGAAACAAAGATATACAAGAAAAAAAACGAGACAAAGTAGTTTCACTTTCACAACGAAACACAGCGCTTTCATGACGGTGGCGGCAACGGCAATACTACAGCGAGAATAAAAGTTACACCTTTTGGTAGTTGTTAGTTACTATTTTCTATCTCTTTGTTAAATAAAACCACTTTTATTACACTTGTGTCTTCCTTGTGTTGATTATTCAGTATGAGGCTCTACAAGTTAACGATATCCCTCAAATCCTTCAGAATGGTCAGACTACAACTTTCTAGAATTTATGTAATTCTTATTTATTCAACAAACTTCCATGATTGTTCTTTATTGTCAAGGCGAAATTCTTTGGCTTGTGCCCTGTAAAATAGTGTGACCAAAACTAAATATTAATATTTAAGCCCAAAGCCATTGCACTGGAGGTGCTACTTAGAGCTAAATTCACTACATTTAGTGGTGCCCCGTGTGAGGCTATCCAACAAATCACTACAGAATTTAAAAATCCCAAGTATTTATTGATCAAAAGGTGTGGGAACCATGGTAGTAATTCCTTGGAGACAACAATTGTGTAGCAGTCTGGGAGCTTATATACATGATTTAATTTTTTAGAAGTATAAATTGCTGCGCATCGGGACTCCAGTAAATCAGACTTTTGGTTTTTGTGTGCAATATGTTATCCTGTAAATATGTGCAATTTGTGTTGTCTGAGACTAAAAACAGCTATGGTCCTAACCTCAGAAAAAACTGAATCAGTTGCGGTCAGTTACACAGATTGTGGGATTCAACCAATGTCGCAGCCTATGACACTGGCAAATAAACTACATTTTGGCGAAGTAACAAAAACTGAAAGGCTGTGATTTTCTCTTGTCTGCCTCAATTAACTGCCACTGTGAGCTATCTCCTTTTGTTCTCTAAACACCTGAGCTGGGCACACAACAGCCTATTCTACTTTCACAGTGATGAGCAGAATGAGCTAAACCCACTGTGGAAATATAAAAGAGGCTCTAAACTCTACTCGGCTCTCACAAGTTTCAATGGCACTGCTGCAGTGTAGTTATTTCCCAAGAGCATCTGAGGAGGCTTTCCCTTGTTGTTTTAGTTTTTGTGTCAGTGTTTAAACTTGTTACCATCCTGTTTAAAAGGGGAGAGAGAAAAAAAAAACCTTCACAGCTTCGAAACAAAGGACTGGTTCGCATTCAATAGCAGTTGATCCACAGCCTCTAAGGACGGCAAAACAACATTTGATGGCGAGCAGCGAGTGTGGAATCTCAAAGAGTCTCAGTCTGAGGTTAAATATACATGCATAGCATAAAGATGCAGACGTTCCTGATATGGAAAGGGAGAAATGACCTAGAAAAAGTGCCTTATTGAGGAAGGTATGGGGAAAAACACACAGTGGAGGGGCTGCAGAGAACCTGGCGTGAGGCGGAGAATACAAATGGGATGGCAAGCCAAGCCCTGCACTGTCTGACAGTAATGACTGCAGCCCCTCTCCAAGCTTTAATGAAAATGACTTCCAATTTTCTGCTCACTGTATTGATTGTATTTTCGTCTTTATTAAATGAATTCAGGTGGTGCCTCGTCTGCCCCGCAGCATTTCAGTTTGAGGATGTTATGGGGCTTGTTGAATGTAAAAACACTGGAATGGCTTTTATTACATGCGCTCTCACTGGACAAACACTGACAACTCACTTTAGGCTCATGTGCAATGACCACAGAAAATATTTGGACACTTTTGGAATTGTAAAAATTTATGAATTTCACTGCATAAGATATCAAACCTACCAATCTGTAAAAATAAATAAATAAATAAAATGATATTTTGGGGCAAAATACATAAAAAAAGAAAAATCATATTTTGGAGCCACTGTATACTTTTCAACAAGGGTGTATGTAAATTGATTATCATGATCTAAATAAATTATTGATCTTGCTGGGAAATAATATAGCTTTTAAAAATTTATTTCAGCTTTGTAACAAGAAATTGGTGTGTGTTCAACTTAATTAATTCAATTTAACAAATGCAAAAAAATTTTTTTTGGGCAAATTTTTAACCAAATTTCAAATTCTGTTACACACAATTGAGACTACTACATGATTTTTTTCTTTTGGCCTTAATTTAATTCTGAACATATTGGTTTTATTTAATTAAGTACTCTACTAAATTTAAACACAGTTATTCATTTTATGTTGTATGCCAGATAAAGCAATCAATGGTCAAAAGTAAAAAGCCAAAAAATATTGTGGCACATGTGCACAATCAAATTCAGCTGAGATTTTGCCCAGCATCCTTCTCATTTTCAATGTGTAGGCAAACTAAATTAAAGCTTGTACCTTAAGATTAAAATACATTTTTTTTTTATTAAATCGCTTGAATCCAATTAAGCAATATCACAAAATACCTTGGAGTGTCGCTTGTCCAATTTAGATCAGGACCAGAAATGTTGTATAATTAATTCCACTAAATGCTTTGTGATGGCGGTCACAAGTTTGCCTATGGGTTTTGGTAGAGGGCTGTTCTCATTGTGGATGAAAGCCCATGGACCCAGATTCATCCATATCAGAACAAACCGTAAAAGTTGAAAAGTTGCCAATATTGTCAGAAATGGAACACACAGGAGAGAGAGGTTTCTTACTGTGGTTTGCCTTTAGCCTGGCACGTCAGTTCCAGATTCTCGCCCTCTCTTATCAGGCCCTGCGGAAACTCCACCTTGATCGTCACCTCAGGTTTATCTGTGGAGGAGAAAAATAAAGCACATCAGCGTCTTGTGCCCCCGGGCTGCATTAAACTTTAAACAGCCTTGGCTTTGTTCAACACTTATTGGATTGTTCTCAGTCATTTGATTTGACTCTTCAGCATTACCATTGTTTGATACAAAATGTGTGCATGCTTTTTTTTCAATGAACCTTTAGAGTCATTTAAACATAATCGATACACCCTGATGTTTGCCTTGTATACAGTCAGAAGACATGACATCACCAATGCCCATATTCAGGTGCTTTCAGCATTGACCTTTCTGATCCGTAAGTACTGCCCTTTCTCATATCTATTAAAACGACTGGCCGCTCAATTGTTCTATTCTCCAGTGACTGGCAGCAGATAGCCCGCTGGCTTTTTGCACCTTGCATCAGCCTTGCTTCTCAGCCGTAGCTGCTACATTCAGCATGAAATGTGCTCTTCTCCTTGGCAAGTCTCAGTTCTTTTCCAATTCAGCTGGGATTAGACTTCCTGCTGTGTTTGTACAGTGCAGCAGGAGGGGTGACATTCAAACTGACGTCGGACACATAACTAACGCTCTCACGTCAAAGTATCCAGCGTTGTGTTTCTCGATACCATCGGAGGGTAGGATCTGACATACAGATTCACGTGGGCCAGTCACTTGCTCCACATTTGTGTAAACTGCATTTGGAAACAAAGATGAAGTTCTCAAGGTGAATGGATACCTTGACTAACAGCTAAAGATCAAGTCAGGAATCTTGGTGTGATTCTGGAGACAGACCTTAGTTTCAGTAGTCATGTCAAAGCAGTAACTAAATCAGCATACTATCATCTCAAAAACATTGCAAGAATTAGATGTTTTGTTTCCAGTCAAGACTGGGAGAAACTTGTTCATGCCTTTATCACCAGCAGGGTGGACTATTGTAATGGTCTCCTCACCGGCCTTCCCAAGAAGACCATTAGACAGCTGCAGCTCATCCAGAACACTGCTGCCAGAATTCTGACTAGAACCAGAAAATCTGAGCATATTACACCAGTCCTCAGGTCCTTACACTGGCTTCCAGTTATATTTAGGATTGATTTTAAAGTACTTTTACTCGTTTTTAAATCACTCAATGGCCTAGGACCTAAATACATAGCAGATATGTTCACTGATTATAAACCTAACGGACCACTCAGATCATTAGGATCGAGTCAGTTAGAAATACCAAGGGTTCACACAAAACAAGGGGAGTCTGCTTTTAGTTATCCGCAGTTGGAATCAGCTTCCAGAAGAGATCAAATGTGCTAAAACATTAGTCACATTTAAATGCAGACTCAAAACTCATCTGTTTAGCTGTGCATTCATTGAATGAGCACTGTGCGATGTCCGAACTGATTGCACTATATTCTATGTATAATCGTTTTCTTAAATTCATTTTAAACCTCTTAAATAAATTTTTTAAATCATTTTCAAAGTTTTTAAATTCCTTGTTTTATTGTTGTGATTATTTTTTTATTTTCTTTTATGTAAAGCACTTTGAATTACCATTGTGTATGAAATGTGCTATACAAATAAACTTGCCTTGCCTAAACTCCTTGCATAACCGTTTTACACCTGTGTGTCCATTTCTGGTGTCTAATAGGAATGTCTTAATGGCAAACAGCTTATGTAAGAAAATCATAGAAGACATTAAGGACCCTAGGCATTCAATGGACTACTCAAGGCTGTCGCACTGCTGCTTTTGTAGAATGTGTCTAATATTAGGCAAATACTAAAAAGGTTCCCGTTTCCCAGGTAGTGTTTCTATATATTGGCACATGACAGGTAAAAACAAGAAATGACTACCTTCTTGTTATACTGATTGCTAATGAATGCAGCAAGAAAATAAACCGTAAAAGACATTAAAAAAATTGAGCATGAAAAACACTGAAAGGCAAGAAAGTGTTACTGGCCTTTTATTAGGCATAATGGATACAAGGAACAACAGTTACGTGTGCCAAATAAAAAAGGGAAAAAACAATAAGAAAATAAACAAAGAAAAAAAAATCAGTCTGCACAGTCATTGCCAATAGTAATTCTATTATAAGACATATAGGGCAATCACTGACCATACCAGCACCATTAACCCCTCTTGTAGTGAACTTGAAATCAAAACTGACCCTATTAACTTTCTTAATGCATATTTCTGGTATCATTGTGAATAATTCATCACTCTCAGTTCATTCTCTTCCTCTGCAACTCTTTCTGTTCTGTTGACATCATTTACTCTACCTCATGTAATTCCAACACTGTATGACTTTCTTTCTTCTGTGGAACACAAAAGAAGATATTTAGATACTTAGAACTCTTTTTGTCCATACAATGAAAGTCAATGGGGTCCGAACAACAGTCAGTTGGACCCCATTGATTTTCACTGTATGGACAAACACACGGTTTTCAGAAAATGAAAAAGAAAGCCAGTCCTACAGGTTTGAAACGAAAAACAGATTTTTCGTTTTTTAATGGACTATCCCTTTAAAGTTCCCAAGATTCATATGAGGCCATGGTGTGCTTGCCAAGCCCACCACAGTTATGTAAGTGGGCTCCACATGAGATGCGTGCTCTGAGGTTCCTGCTGTTTCCTTGGAGGTATTCATCCTCTCAAACTGACAGGTTGTAATGGCTGAGCTATGTCTTTCCAGTCCTACGCTCCATTCCAATGCTGGCCAGCATCCAGCCCTCTAGTTTCTCAAAGGAACCCAAATCTAATATTAATCCCAGTAATAGAGCTTGAAGTGGCGTTGCACAGATGCTTATGCGACAGCGCTGTGTGTACGTTCCACGGACGTGGGGGAGATATTAGAGCTGCTCCCATGTGCAACTTTAATGACATAATTCGCTCACTTTGGCAAACAACGTGGGTTAAACAGTAGACATGCACTGATAGATAAAACAGTGGGTTTGTAACGTAAATAGTCCAGAGTCATTAGTATGCATGAATCAGGATAAGCAGCAGACCTTGCGTTGGAGGCAGGTCATGCATAAGGGCCAAGGAATTTACAAAAAATCCACACACAGAGATTCTGAGTGTCCCCGTGGATTCAAAGGGTGAAAGATTAGTTCGCTGAAACCATGTCAAAGTCGCCCACAATAACCCCCAGATTCCACTCTTTCAATTTCACCGGCTCTTACGGCACTTTGGATAGACTGGATGCTGAGTGAACGGTGACTTCACTTTGACCCACAGATTTCACACTTTCTTGGATTTTAAAGTGCAAGACTGGAGGAAAAAAAAAAAAAAAGGGTCAATGTCCTGACAAGATTTATCACATTATTTCAGGGCTGGCGTTTCAACTGGCTTTTTGGTAATCGCTAAATTTGTTGAGTGCTTTGCCCACTTGATGCTTTCCTGTTTGACCTCTTCTATCAACAAAAAGTGATCTGTTGGCCTTCTATCTGTCCAAATTACACCCTGTCAGAGCTAACATTGCTGTGTCCATGATGGACAGCCTGGTCTAAAGCAAGAGAGAGAGAGAGAGAGAGAGAGAGAGAGAGAGAGAGAAAGAGAG